TGTTGGTCTCTGATAGCCTGGGACACGTTTTGTTTTGGGCTGCTTTTGCCTTTTAAACTCCACAGGACCCTTCTAGTTTAAAGTGGACCCCAACCAGATTCTATATCTGCCTGGTGGCTTTCATTCCTGATCCGCTTCACTTTGACCCAGTGGGGGTTTGATACCTGACCCTGTGGAGAGGACACGCATGAACCGGGACGGTGAATTAAGCATCTACATTCCTTCAGACAATGCTGACATGCACGGGCACATTCTTTGGCTGTTTCCGCCTCACAGTGTTGAGAATGTCCTCCAGTATTGTGGATAATCTGCCGTTTACAGCAGATATGGTGGCAGGCCTGAGCTGTGAACTCTCCCCGGTATGTGGCTGCAGGGCAGAGGCCCGTCACGCCGTGGTGTTCTGGGAGTGTGGTGCTAGGCCAGGCCACAGGGTGGTGATAAAGGGACGCAAAAGGGAGAGCTAATGGAGTATTCACAGGGGCCTGGGTCTCGTTATACCACACTACACATGCAACAACACTATAAATAGAAAGTGTGTGTGTTCACAGACCCTGGGCAGAGAAAAAAAGGTTAGGTTAACTTAACACTGTAAGCTGACATCACTCTGTCATCACTGGTTTTTCCAGACCTTAAGATGACATGGATGTCATGCCTAAAAACCATCATTTGAGGGAGGACAGTGGGGCTGTTTCCTACAGAGAAAACAGCAGGAGACAGAAAGCTTGTTCAGTCTTTGTAATATGCGTATACATAGATATATATGTGTAAATATACACATATAAGTCTATATATATATATCTATATGGGGCAAATGACACGTTTTAATACCTAAAAGATTAAAGTAATATTCCATGGTTCCCGAGTGGAAGAGCTCCATTTGGTCTTTTTGACTGTATGATACTCCCCAGAACTAAGAATTTCTTTGTTTTTTAACTTTATAGATTAGGACACCTTAATCCCTAGTCCACTTTCCAAACCTAAAATGAAATACTTAACAGTACTATGACAAACCCAGTTGTAAGGCTGTAAGGGATCTTTTTCCTTCTCGTCCTAAACTTTGGATTCTGATTTGAAAACAAAAATACAGTGATCCAGGAAGTCCCTTTAAGCCTGTTGACAGTCTGATATTTGCTCATTAGCATATCAGTGTATTGGGAATCAATGTGTGCGAATGGTGCATTTCACCTTTCCACAAAAAAAACCTGTTTAGTAAGTGGAAAAACGAATCAAGGGGCATGGATCATGGATTTTCAATAAGTGGACGCACAGACCTGTAGAAAATGACTTTTATTTACAAATTGATCTTTTGCAGTGAATTCTCATAAAAGATTGTCAAACTAAAACTTTATTGTGTTGTCTAACTAGAACTGTGCAAGTGGAACAAAAAGAGCATAAACCACATGCACTTATCTGTACAATCCATCACCAAAATAGATCTGATTATCAAATATAGTGCTCATTATAAACACCCACCAGCTGTTTAGTATTTCAGGAGTTCGGAAAATGCTTTTTTAAAATGACTCTTCTTGTGGCATCTATGAAAATACTGAACCACAAAAATAGACCACAGTTTCTTGACACAATTTCTGCATCTTATTACACATTTACAGCTTCTATCACTTTAGCAGCAGGTACCCCAGATTACTGACTGAGAGGTTCACTCCACAGCGGAACAGTAAGTCCCGCTGGTCGTCATGTCAGTAGCAGAACACTGAGACATCTATTATTGAGAAAAGTCAAAGTACTGAGGCACTCAGCTTTAGCCTGTGTGTGTGTGTGTGTGTGTGTGTGTGTGCCGACACACACATGATCACACTGTACGAGGAACAGTCGTGTGCTGAAAAAAATAGAATCCACATAACCAGCCAGAGGTGCAAAGCTCAAAGTGACAGCATATCCAAGAGGGGCATGTCTGAGGCTCTGGGCCTCTGCTGTGAGGTGGAGTCCGTCAGGGAGGCGGGGGGGGGAGGGGTGGAGCATGGCAGACGCCCGGCTTTCAGGCTGCTGGGTGTTCCAGCATTCAGAACATTAAGCCAGAGGAGCCAAACTGGATCATTAACGATAAAGACGCTGGCTCAGATATGAATGGAAACCTTGAGAACTTTCCTGAGATGGTGTTTTTTAATTGTTCCTCGGTATCGGAGCACTCTGGGGACAACCGCACACCCAAGAACTCCAGTTGGCTACAACTGTCTGCACCAGCGTTGAAGGACTGTGGCTACGATCAGCAGGAAAACCCTGTCTGAAACAGCTTCAGGGGGAAAACAGGATGAAACAAAAGTCAAAAAAGGCTAGGTTAAGGGATGCCCCATGAGATGATGGTGGTTAAAGGTGGTCCACTCAGGCTGTGCTGTCTGCAGAAGCTCTGATTACAACAGAAGAAGCAGCACAGAAACACTACGGAGACACAAGTTCAAATATAAATCCACAAAAAGCTCCTTCTGCCATGTCAGTAACAGGAAATTAAACTAAAGTTCCCCATCAAGTCCACAGGGAGAATCTTTCTCTAACTGTTTCATTTCATTTGAAAGTAAAAGCCACCGCATCGTAAAGGCAGAGGAGGGCCTGTGGTGTTTAGTAGCACACACACTCACTTACTGCTCAACACTCTGGGGGCCTGCACCGCCCTGCCACACATTCACATTTATCTGTGAGCACAGGAGATGCTGCTGTCTGTCTGTCACTATCCACACCCACAACAGTCTGAAATGACGGCTCTTAGACGCTGGTATCAGCATGTCTGGGTTCTTATGTGATAAATCTAGAGCTTCCTCTAGCCAATTAATGTAAAACTGCCTCCATCTAAAAGCTCCTCATGTGAAAGTGAAAGGTTTAAATGAGCAACACTCTTTTGTCAGATCAGTTGTAGTACAGTGTAATATCTGTGGTACAGGCGGGGGGGGGGGGGGGGCTGAACAACAGGAGCACATCCTCGGGGAACAGGAGCTGGGCTGACCTGGATTTCCGCTGAAGACCAATGGCGTCAGAGGCCGGTTAACAGAGCGAGGGCTGCCACAGCTCACAGCCTCAGGTGGAACACCACTCACCAGAGAACCTGCCAGCCTCAGACACAACCCCCCCACCGACCACAGGAAACCGTTCACAGAGAGGAAAGGGATTCTCCCTCCAACACACAGGATTTATTGTTGATTCACAGAACCACTTGAGCTCACACCATGCACCACAATCCACAAAGTCTGCAATGGACTAACTAAGACCTGGACCTGGACCTGGACCTGGACCTCATACAGATGCAGTCGCTGAATGTCGGAGATTCTTAAGCCTCCGCTGGAACTCTCTGCCCGGAGGACTTTTTTAACCTGAGAAAATTGCTGCACGAGATGGTTTAGTGGAAGCATTAAGAAACATCCACCTCTACAGAGCAGGGACTTAAGCGGGGGGGCCACACCAGGGTCTGGGGGTTCACAAATCCTCATCAGATCTTTGAGCTGCAAAGTGGCTCGTCATGAATTCGATGTGTTCTTCCTCCCGTAGGCGGGGTGCCTTCTGTCAGTAGGTGTTGGATATTCTAAATGCATTTGAAATGTATTTTTCCAGGTTTGATTTCATCTAGAGACAACCGGTCAAAATGATGAGTCATCATTGCACATTTTAAAAAATCCTACCTGAATGCTGGTGTAGCTACACTATGCTTTAAGACTGTAGCATCTATGGTGGTGTTTAGGAGTCTTGGAAATGATCTATGGTTTATTAATTCCATTTAAATAGTAGCCATGTGGAACACTCAACAGGGCAGCCTTAGGTGGGCTCAGACCTGCTCCATCCATGGACCCTAAAGAAAGACTGGTGGGAATCAAAACCAACGAGCAAAAGGAAGTTGCTAACCACCACCTAAAAGCCTGAAACTTTGTAAAGACACACACTGTTTGGACAGCAATAATAACCAATAATGAGAAATGACAACAATGCTGATTTCCTATGAGTGCACTTCCACAGAGGACCTCAGAGACACACACACCCAACAAAGTAACACTGAAATAGCCGAACAATACAAAGAAAATCCTTTATGCAAGTTTTACCGACCAAAATGTGACAGATTAAAAACAAGTGATTCTCTGTTTCACTCATTTCATCAAACGACTTGTTAAAACTATTTGAGGAAAGCTGCAGCTGCTAAAAATCCAACCACATGAGTCGGGTTTCTACCTCATCAGCATCGTACTGAAGGTGTGTTCTTTTCCAAATTCAGGTCACAGCAGGGCTGGGCGCCGGGAAACAGGCACCCAGAGCTAAAGCCCAAACAAGAAATGCACAACTCTGAGTCAACGTTCTGGCTTCAGCAGCCAACATGTCCACTTATCAGCCAGTCTGACCGCCCTGAGCCATGCTCTGTGACGCAGTGCACACGACACAAACTGACCCGCAGCAGAGCTCTGCAGCCCTGGGCTTATTTTCGTAGTTTTGGATCGTCAGCGGCCTAACAGCAACTGCGAACTCGATCCAACAGGGAATATAGCCCCCACTTAACCTCCAAGCTGTGTTCAGGTGTAAGCAGGCTAGCGAAAGCAGAAGGGTGGACACTCCTATTGAGCAACACTCCTCAGAGTAATAGCGCTGATATTAAATGACCATTAGAACTATAAAAAATAGGACTACCTGTGAAGCAGAAAAGTGGGGGAAAACACAACAACAATGTGCATTGATGTCTCACAGGACAGCTTTAAGAGGACTTCTTTCAGTGCTTTGTCAACATGACAAGTATCACATGTACAGGGGACACACGCGGCCTTGGCACTGGACAGTTCGGGGTTAGTTCTCCTCAGCTCTGACACTAGCCTGCAGAGGTCAGACATGTAGACAACACCGGGACCTATCCAAAACGACTCCCAGAGTACTTCACTTCTATCACCTCCCAGCCCACGCCCAACCAGTCTGAACAGAACATTAACTCGCTTCCAGGTTAAATAGAAAACAAACAATGATAATAAATAAAAAAACCCAAAAAATAAAGTCCACTGCTAAATCCATGGCAGCGAGGCTCAGGGGAAACAGAGGGAGTTAGGGAAGGGGGTGAGGGTGCACACCGGGGTGGGGGAGCCGTAGAAGGAGGGGTCTGTGAAAGGGAAGAGAAAGATGAAGAAAAGAAGAACCCCCAGCAGGTAGGAGGACAGAACGGTGAGGCGGTGGGGGTGCTCCAGGGCTGTGCTGATGGCCGGGAAACCCATGTAGTTACAGAAGGAGTGGCACAGGACCGGGCCCATCAGGTGACCTGCAACACACACAGGAGCACTGCGGTGAGCGCATGCACGGCCCCGGGAACACGTCACACTACCCCTTCACAGGAACCAGTCCATTTAGCCAGGGGCCCCCCCACTCTGACCCGCTAATGGGGTCTGCACAGAGGAGCACCATCAGGAGGGAGACGCATGCTATATGCCGCCCCACCAAAGTTATAGCCCCCTACAGAGTGTTTTTCGTTTGTCTTTTTTAGATTAAAATTGATACTTGGAGGCTTATAAGTTTGTAGATGCAGCTTCTTTAGGTCCTATGGACGGATACAGTATCTCTATACGGCTTCTAGAGGTCCTGTGGACGGAAACGGTGTCTCTGTGTGACGTCTGTGTTACTAGTTCATCAGAAAATGGTCCAGTGTGACATGAGGTTGGCAGCCCCTCCTTCTCGGGGTCTTTGCCTTCCAGCATGCTGCAGACAGACAGAGCAGAGCACCTCGGTGCATCCGTTTGTCCTGAGCTGAAGTTCAAGGCTGAGTCAGCGACCTACATCTGTAGCGGTAGCATATGCTACACTGCTAACACTGAGAGAGGAACAAGTAAGAAACAGTGTTCTCTCTTCCATGCATTTGTTCCTTAGAACTCCTGGGGCCGGTTCATCATCGCCTCCCTTCTTTGGATTCTACTTGGTTTTGGGACACATACACCATAGACCAAAAGGTTGGACAAACCACAGGTTCTATGGGGGAATAAATATGTTGAAGTCATCTAAAAAAATATTGATAGGGATTCTGAAGAATGCTCCTCATCAATAGCCCCTCTGGGTTAGTCTGTGCCTTCCACACTCCAGGCCCAGCCCCAGACCACAACACCCAGAGTCTGGAACATTTTTGGAGCTAACCCTAACCCTAACCCAAAGCTCTCCCACTGGCGTCCCTTCAACAAGGAGCTTCTGAACTTACCTAATACCCACTGCCAAGCTGAGGGCACGTGGCCCCTTGTGGCAGACACTTGTAATCTAATCAAATGGGCATACTATGGAGCCATTGGCTGCAGTACCCTAGAGAAGGAAAAGCTCCTCACCTGTTCTGATGAAGAGGAAGGCAGTGTATGCTCCAAATACTGCTGTGTAGGAGAACTGAAACACTGGAGCAAACCAGAGAAACAAGAATGCATCAGCAGCTGTGGGGGCGGGGGGGGGGGGGGGGGGGCGGTCTGGGGGGGGGGGGCTCTCACCTGCAGACAGGAAGATGCCCGACAGCGTGCCCTGCCTGAAGCGCAGCAGCTCGATCACATGGTGGAAGTGAGCTGGAAAAAAGACCACAGGGCAGCGTCATCACCACAAAAAGGCTTCCTCCATTCTGTCTGACGCTCTCTCCAGACCGCCATTCACAGGCCCAGACACAAACTCACACACAAACCCTTTGCATGGAGCTAGGCGCCACTGGTCCACGCCAACAAATGCAACCGATAAAGAGCAGCCCCGTTTCAGACACAGTAAAGCACACCAGTACAGACTAGGAAATAACCTGCCTTGAGCGGGACACCGAACTGAACAGCCCTGTTTGACTTGTGTGTGGTTGCGTGTCTCTGTGTGGCCCTGTGATGGACTGGTGACCAGTCCAGGGTAGACCCAGCCACATGACTCAATGGTGAAACCCAACACCTTTAAAAACTGCAGAGAAATTCAGATTCTATTTTTTCTGTGATCATCAATTGTGTAAATGCGTAAAACATGAACCAAAACCGAAGTTGAGTTGGTTTATGGTGGCCATGTCCACTGTGGTTTCTGCCTGCGTCACGTTTCAGGGACAGGATCAGGGAGGCCACAGGCCGGTCAGCCGTCTTTGTGTCGGGACACGATCAGTACTGGAATGCCAGTCAAACTGAGCCCTGGTGGGGGGGAATGGAGCCCCCGCTGGTTAGTTGGGCCGGCCTTTGATGTGCCGGTGAAAACCCCCATCTGCTGGTCACAGAAAACCGACCAAAGCCAGAAACCCAGGCTGACACGATAATAAATGGAACCCCATTTCTATGAATACACACTCAGGGGTGATCCCTCAGAGCTGAACACCACACAGAGCTGGTACTTCTTCTGAAACCTGTTGAACAGTCACGTATGTGGCTGTTTCTCTAGGCCCTGAACAGAACTGAGCTTTTTAAAAACAAAGACACACGTGCAGTTCAGCTGCTGAGGCCTGGCTTACCCACTCCAAAGAACAGGGGGCAGGTGAAGATGGCCGCCGACGGGCCGGCGCAGGGCACCAGCATGGGCAGCATGCAGGCCCTGAACACCAGCTCCTCTGTGAACGGCGCCACCACCTGATTCCTCAGCCAGCGCATGTCACTGAGGCACAGCGTCCAGAAGCACGGGTCTGCAGCACACACACACACACGCAGTACCACATTAGTACCCACAAGTGGAAAACACCAAAAATGTCTTTTTATGAAAGCATTCAGGGCTTTGTCATACAGCTCCATTATGCCATGAAGATTATTATTATTTTTTTTAATCAATCTATAAAGAATTGTTAGCCTACCTAAGGCCACCCGGATCCCATCTATGAAGCTCCAGGGACAATCCATGGCCAGCTGCATGAGGGGACCCAGAAAAAGGACCTGTAGGAGAGAGGCTGTTTAGACACTCATATTCACACAAACACACACATATATATGTATAAAATCAGAATCAGAAATACTTTGATAATCCCAGAGGGAAATAATTTTTGTTACTCCAGATACACCACAGCATTTACATATATACATGTTTATGTTTCTGTTTATGCATTTGGCAGATGCTTTTGTCCAAAGCGACTTACAGAGTAGACACAATATTACATTTCTCATCATATATATATATATACGCACACAACATTGCACACAAAATATAAAAAAATATATACATATGTAACTATATGTATATATACAAATATAAAATTAGTGATAATGATAGAAATGAATGGCAATACATTAGTAAGAATTTACAGAGGGGGTATAAATATATACATATATGTATATATACGTATATGTGTGTGCAAATGTGAGCTCTATCTCAGGAAAAGGGAAAGCGTTTCTTACCATAGTAAGCAGCAGGGGCAGAACGATTGCTGGAATGATGCCTTCTAACCGGACTCCCATGAGAGCGAACAATGTAGAGCTGGTCTGACACACAAACACAAAATGAGGTGAGGCAGCAGAATCTCTCCACTCCGTATGACTCAACTATGGGAGCTGGTGCTGCGTGAAGAATGGAGAAATCACTTTGGAACTGGGTGTGTAGTATTACACAGGACGCCAACCAAAGATTAACCAATCACAGAGCACCATTTTATTATTAACTCATTCGCTGCCAAAGACGTCTATAGAGGTCTTTTATGTTTTTCAACGCGAGTGACTTGGGGGACGATCCGCTGAAGATTGTCCGTAAATATGGGCTTCTAGACAGAGTATGTAGTAACAAATTGAGCCTCTAGGGGGCAGTGCCACTTTTGATGGGAGATGAGCATAGACTGTAGGCAAATAAAAAAAACGCAATGGTTCGCTATGCGAAAAATGGCACCGGTGAGACGCAAGTCCAGGAAGAACGGAATAAGGTAGAAACACTTTTTTTTTTCCTGATGAAAGAAGAGAGTCTACTCTTTCTTTTGGTGTGTTCGGTGTTTACATAGTCATAGCACAAACTATTCTGTGGCTCTAGAAAAATCAGTCAAAATGCTCAGAAAACTCTGGCAGTATGGGACTCTGTTCTGAAAATGGCTGCCAGTCAATGAGTTAATCATGAGGCAGAGAAGGGGTGGCTCTCTGATCCAGTTAGGATTCTAGTCCCCACGTGGGGTTGTATCCATCATGTATCATCTATCAGTGATGTGACCCCCATCCGGACTGCCCCTCCTGAGGGTCACATCTCTGAGGTCAGTGGCTGGTCCTGGTACTCTGTGATCCCGGGGAATCTGCTCGGTTTCCAGGGCTGCCGGCTTGCTCTGTAACATTGTGTGGATAAGTATCTTTTTGGGTAACATTTAAGTATCCTGCAGAAGGTCACATTTAAACACGTCATCCTCTTCAAAGGAGTCTGAGAAAACATGATATAACCCCCCAGAGCTTTGAACCTTCTCCTGCATAGTGGAGCCAAACAAATAGGAAAAGGGGCAGAATGATTTTGTCGTGGATTCTCCTTCCTGCTGCATTACAGCATTCTAAGGAGGGAGCTAACCTTCAAACTGACTATTCAAAAGGCTCATTTAAAGGTTAAAATTAGGTTAGAAGCAATATTACATGTAACAGGCAGAAAATGTACTGTCTAATCTCCAATTCTAGACAGTGTCCAATATCCTTTAATCCTGTTTTAAAGCGTCAGATACCTACAGATGTCATCTCAAAGCACTTCAGTCCAGTTCCACCCTGATTTAAACAGAGCTGACTAACTGGAACTTCTGTCTGATGGAATTCCATCTTGAGCATCAGTGGGATAAAAATAAAAATAAAACTTTTATTGCACACCGCTGGTCTCTCAGCCATAGTCGGGCGTGTGTCTGAGTAAAACCAGAGGAGAGCAGGCCCCTGAGGCGTACTCACCCTCACGGCCGTGAACTCCCTCCATGTCCACACGAAGAGCGGCGACAGGCCCGACACGATCAGCACGCTGGTGAACCGGCGCTTTATCACAGTGGGATGATCCCTGGGAGGGCAGGAGAACAGACACAGGGGGGGTCAGGTGACCGGCCGAGGCGAGGTGTGCTGGAGGCACCTGCCCAGAGCCTCAGCCTCAGGGCAGGGGGTCACCCCATCACCAACACCTTTCATCTGGATCTGCCACCAGCAGGGCAGCAGTGAAGGTCTGGGGGCTGAACCTGGAGACGGACCCCGGTGCTACTGTGTCAATTAGACATTTAGAACGTCTAAATGGATTGTCGTCTAGCAGAGCCTTCACCAGCTTAAGACCATCCAGACTGTTTGCATGTGTCGTTCCAAGATGGAGGAACGACCTACCAAGCTCCACAAGAACAGCAGAGTCCATGTCTGTCTTCAAGAAACTCTAGAAGACCCCCCTCTTCAAAGAGCATCTCCTATCCTAACCCTAACCCGTACCTCTCCCCCCACAGCTCCTTCTGTAGTCCCTCTACCTCTATCTCTATCTCACCACTGACTCTGATCAGGGTTTCTCCTCTGGATAGCTTATTGTCATAGTGATGAGAAATGGAATATTGGGTCTACTCTGTAAGTCGCTTTGGAGAAAAGCGTCTAAATGCAGAAACATAAACATAAACATAAACAGAACGTTCATGATCACAGAAACAATCAGATGTTTAGTCATGTGACTCCCTGGCCAATCGGCTGTCGGCCAGCCCAGCCCTGAGGGGATGCTGGAAATACAACTTTTAGGAGGAATCAGTCCCAGCTGAGTAGATGCTAGTGGGAAAGCCAGCATTCCACAGGCTGCTGGTCAGGACGCTGGAAGCCTGTGTCACGTCCCACTGTCTGCCCACTCCCAGGCAGCTTCCGGCCCCCTGAACACATCACCTGTCTCAGCAGGCTGTGTAGACAGCGAGATGGAAGAGATCCATATAAACTACAGGGATTCCAGCTCAGTCTGAGCACTCTGGCATCCAGGAGGGGGGGGGGCCTAAGGCGGAGGGCTGCTCCCAGGGGCTGGAGCTCAGCCCCCCCGTCAGGATCCCAGCCGCTCCTCCTGTCTGCGTCAGCAGCAAAGGTTGGCGGTTCGACTCCCTGTCACATGTCAAAACACGTCAGGACCCTGAAGCCCACGTTGCCCTGGGGTCTGTGTGAGGGACGGCAAACAGCGTGGAGTCCTGTCCCAGTGTGTGTGTGTGTGTGTGTGTGTGTGTGTGTGTGTGTGTGTGTG